TTCTCCATTTAGCACTTAAGGTGATCCTCTTAAATCATTTAAATTTCCCTCAGAGTAAAAGATAAAGTCTTTAAAACACCCTGCCAGGCCCTAGGTAATCAAGCTCCCTGATAACACTCTCTGAAAGTCATTTTCTACTTTTCTCAGCCCCAGTAGCCTACTTGAACATTCCAGGCCTACTTGAACATACTTGCAGCTTATGTACTGGCTGTAATACTTCTTTGCCTGAATTACTTCATCTCTTTTAGATGTTTGCTTAAACTTCACCTTCATGAAGCTTATAGTGATCACCCTATTTAAAATCAAACCCCCCTACCTGTTCCCAGATACACACTTCTCTTCCCCTTGCTCTAGTATTCCTGTTTTTACATTGTACTTAACGCATTTTTAAAAACTATATAATGTATTTATTATGTTTATCATCTGTGTGCCTCCCCCCTAACTAAATGTGAGCTTTGCAGGCTTCATGAGGGCCAGGGATATTTTGTCCCATTTACTGATGATGAGTCTTAAGAGATTAGAACCATGCTTAGTACATAGCAAGTTATCAATGAATTTTCATTGGATCCTGCCCCTCTGTTCCCCTAGTACTCTTTGATCTCTTTTTCTGTTATTGATATCACTACTCATTATTCAGAAATGAAATCTTGATGTCACTTCCAGCTTCTCACTTATCCTTGCTTACCATTTCCTACGTGCATCAAAGGAGTTAGTGTAGTAAATTAATTTAATCCAGTGCCTGGCACACATTAGACCCTCTGCATATTGATTGGATCAGTATCATCATCATCACCTTTAACTGAGCTTTGGCAGTCTCTGGACGAGCCTTCTCTCCCATTCACTCCTTTTTTTTTTTTTTTTTTTTTAAGATTTTTTTCTTTTTCTTTTTCATCCCAAAGCCCCCCTGGTACATAGTTGCATGCTTTTTTTAGTTGTGGGTCCTTCTAGTTGTGGCATGTGGGACGCTGCCTCAGCATGGCCTCGCGAGCGGTGCCAGGTCCGTGCCGTGGGCTGCCAAAACAGAACGTGCGAACTTAACCACTCGGCCACGGGGCTGGCCCCAATCCACTCCTTTCTAAGTTACAACTTCTCACCTGAAGTACTACAGTAGGCTTCTTAACAGTCTCCCGATATAAATAAATATCTTTCTCTCTATCATCTTTTGCCTTCAAGTTTAATCCTTCTCTGTTCCAATGTAACTTTTCCACAGTTCCCATAGTTTTCTGATACACAGGTGGGATTGCCTTAGTCCCTCCTCAAAAATCTTTAGTCTCTTCATTGTCTGCGTGGGAAATTCCATGCACTCAAGATCGCCTATCTTACTTCTTCAGGCTCATCACTTCCTATGGTTTTCTACTCCTCACATATCTCATTTACTTTCATATAACCAAATTTGCAGATTGTATTTCTTCAGTCTGGACCACCTCTCCCTAAATCCTTAAATTCTCATCTTAAAAAGCTTAACTCTCAAATGTCACTTTGTTTCCTAAACTCTCAATTAGAAATCACCAGTTGGGTTAGTGCCCTTTCTCATTCCACAAGAAAATTATTCTACAACTTGACCCTTTTCTTTAAAGCCTCTACCCTCCCCGACATATACCCACAAACATATAGCAGTTCCCCAGTAAGTGAAATGAGATCTGGGCATGTGCCTTGTGAGAAAATATAGGTCGTAGACTGAATTTCTAACTCTGTTTTCCTGTACCTCCAGACTTACTTGAATCTTCATGATTTAGTTATTCTGTTTTCATGTGTTTTCTTCAAGGTCTTGTATCACTTATTACCACCTCCCCCATATTGCTTTACCTGCTGTTTCATTAACTCCTGCCCTCTGCCTAAAACTTAATCAGGGTAACTATCCTTGTGAAACTTTATCTCAAACTTAGTATTTTGTTTCCTTCTCCAAATATTTTAAGAGAATAATCTATGTTTTGTTGACTCTACCTTTTAAATTTTTAATCCTCAGCCCAGAACCATTTGCCTGCTCCCCCCCTACTGTAGTGAACTACAGCAGAGATCATCAATGGCATCTTCACTGCCAAATCCTGTTACCTCTTTTCAGTTCTTACTGATGCTTACCAATGGTGATTTGCCTTTCTTCAGGAAACTCTTCTCACATTGAAGCTGTTGTCTCCTACCTGTCTTCCTCTGCCTGAATATGCCTTCCTAAAGGATCATTTGCTCTTCCTTTTGAATATCGGCTGTTCCCTCCCATTCTCCCCCTCTCTCAATATGTATACACCCACACATAAATATATAGTTATTAACCTTTTCCCTTTGGTGGTCTCATTTAACTCACTAGTTTCAACTACCGCCTGCAAACTCATGTTGCCTCTTAAATCTGTATATATCTTGTCTAATTCTGCTTAGTTTTAAAGAGCTTCATATGTTATAGGTCCTTTGCAGCCATAGTCTGAGTGAGATCTCTTCTCCAGAAAGTTTCCTTAGGACCTCTGAATTTGTGCCCTACTTTTTAGTGAGTCCAAAGGGTTAATAAAATCTCTGAGATTATCGAGACACCAGCCTTAGAACTTCAACATTTAGAAATAAGAGTAAATACCTAGCCCTTGGGGACCTGAACTCAAATTTGATAATGCAGACTCTTACAGTTGCCAAAGGGCCAGGCTCCACTGACTGAAATCTGTAAGGCCTGAGGCATTGCATACCTAAGACCCAGCCACACCCACACACTAAGACTTGCCCTAGCACGTCACCCCCACCCACACACCACGTAGGCCAGGTGGGTTTAGATGAAAGCCTGCTGTCTGATTTAAACTTTTCTATTTTTAAAAAAGCTTTCGCCCCCTTGAACTCCAATCACAATTACCTCCTACCACTGAACAAATTTAAAAATCTAGCAAAATCAGAAACCCATCCTGGCTGAGCCAGAAGTCTTAAACTTCACTTGTTACTCTGATCCCCCCAAAAGCTATTTCCTATAACTTTCTCAAGGCTTTTCTGTCCATACCTACATGATAGAGATAAAATTTGTTTTATTATTCCTAATTCTAAATTACAGAGACTTAATGTGTGTCCATAGCCACAGTTGCTTTGAAATGTTTTTCTGGCACACCCTTCATCCTCACTTCCACACTCTCTCTGCCTCATTCCATCAAAGTCAGTGCTAGACAGAACTCCACCAGCCTCCTTCACTGGAGTTCAGGCAGAGAAAGCACTGATTCATGAGGACAGGCAGCTGGTTCCACTAAAGCCAGGCTTTAATAAGCTGAGTCCCACATGCTCAGTTCCTTCTTTCAAACTCATCAATCAGATAGTACTCTTCCTCCCTTGCGGTGAACTAGGAAGTGAAGCTCACCAATTACTGTTTTCTTCCCAGTCCTGAAAGGTCAAAAGTTCCTCCTTTACTGATCTTCATACTGGAGCTTGTATGCTTCTGGAGGACCAGCAAAAATTTCTACTGGGTGTTATGCAGACAATTTCTAGATCTTCAACTTCCATTTGTATTCTTGCCTGAATTCCATCTTTCTGAGAAAGTATCAGCATTCTACAGATTATTCTTAACTATTCCCTTTTCAGGAACAAAAGATCTCTCACCCAGGAGAATTTAATTATGGTGCATTGCCCCAGGTGTAAAAGCTTTCAAGGTGGGCATAACCTTTCAGACACCTAAAAGGGATAATTTGAAAAGGCAGAAGTGTCTAGCAAAAGCAAAAGACAAAAAATGAAGTCAGACTTTTTCTGATGAAAAGTAAGTCTGATTTAGCTTATCAGCTTGACTCTGGAGGACATGCAAACAGAAGCGTTTGAAGATGGTTTTTCCACTTTTCTGTGAACCAAAGAGGAAAATTTAGTAGTTAAAATAGCTTTAAGAGATGTTATTGAACTTTTAAACTTATTAATTTTTTGACTGTGAAAGTAATACGTATTTATTTTAACAAACAGAAACAATGTACAGTTATACAGAGTAAAAGTGAAAGTCACTAGCTTCCTGCTACCCCTCCTCCAGTCCTATTCTCTAGCGGTAGTCACAAGTAAGCCTTTGATTTGTATCTGCTTAGCCTTTTTTGTGTGCTTCTACAAATAGACCCACATAAGGGGTTCTTTTCCCCTATAAATGGGATCATTGATCTGCATTGTGCCTTTTTTCTCCTAACAAATGTAAATTGTGAACATTTTCTCAAGTATGTATTTATAACACTTTTAATGGCTGCCTGGTATTCTAAATGTATACTATTATCAATTTATCCACCCTCTCCATTGATGGATTTACTGTGTTTCCATTTGTTGCCATTATAATCAATTTTGCAATGGAAATTATTGCACCTATAGGTTTTTAACTTGAGATAGTCAGTTTTTAGGGTAAATTATTAGGATAAGCTGTTTGTAATTTTTGTACGAGACCCACAGCAGTATAGGAAAGAACTCATTTTCCCAAACTTTTGCTGATATGATATCTTTTTTAATTTTGCCAAATTAATGAATGAAACATGATAGCTTGTTGCTTTTTTTTTTTTGAGGAAGATTAGCCTAGAGCTAACATCTGCCACCAATCCTCCTCTCTTTTTGCTGAGGAAGACTGGCCCTGCGCTAGCATCCATGCCCATCTTCCTCTACTTTATACATGGGACACCTGCCACAGCATGGCTTGACCAGCTGTGCTAAGTCCGCACCTGGGATCCGAACAGTGAACCCCCAGCCACCGAAGCAGAACATGTGAACTTAACCATTGCACCACCAGGCCTGCCCAATACCTTGTTACTTTAATTTCCATTTCTTTAGTGATCATCAAGCTGTGCATCTCTTTACCGTTCACTCATTTTAAAATTAGATTGTCTTTTATCGTTAACTTGATCTTGATATTTAAAAGTATTTTCTCTTTACAGTGATTTTAGTATGATCTTGATCAAACAATGAATTGAGCTAGATGACTTTGAATTTTATAGTATCCTAGTTCCCTTATGATAAAATGACATTATGTGACAGCTTTTTTCCAAGGTAAATTCCAGTGTTATAATTCTGTTTTATTGATCCTTTAACAGTTAAGGGAAGAAAGCCGGAGGCTAGCTTTGGCTGCTAAAAGAGAAAAGAGAAAAGAGAAGAGAAGAAAGAAAAAGGAAGAACAAAGAAGAAAACTAGAAGAAATCGAAGCCAAAAATAAAGAGAACTTTGAACTCCAAGCTGCTCAAGAAAAAGAAAAGCATAAAGTTGAAGGTATTTTCTCTAAACAACCAGCTAATTTGTTTCGTGTAATACATTCTATTTAAAATTATATTTCCTTAAATATCAGTAACTTAAGGTAAGAATAGATTACTAAGTTAATAAGCCCTTAAAGTATTTACATGCTGTTTTCATTTATTGACTTCTCCCCAGCTTTTTCTTTTCTTTTTTTAATTGAGGTAAATTTGGTTTATAACATTATATAAATTTCAGGTGTACGTCATTATATTTCAGTTTCTGTGTAGACCACATCATGTTCACCACTGAAAGGCTAATCACCATCCCTTACCTTACACACGTGCCCCATCACCCCTTTCTCCTTCTTACCTCCCCGCCTCCCCTCTGGTAACCACCAGTCTAGTCTCTATATCTACATGTTTGGTTGTTATTTTTATCTTCCATTTATGAGTAAAATCATGGTATTTGACTTTCTCCCTCTGACAGACTTTGCTTATTATTATACCGTCAAGGTCCATCCATGTTGTCACAAATGGCAAGGTTTCATATTTTTTTAATGGCTGAGTAGTATTATGTTGTGTATATAAACCACATCTTCTTTATCCATTCATCCATGATGGCACTTAGGTTGTTTCCAGGTCTTGGCTATTGTGAATAATGCTGCAATGAACATAGGGGTGCAAATATCTTTTTGACTTAATGTCTTCATGTTCTTTGAATAAATACCCAGAAGTGGGATAGCTGGATCATACGATAGTTCTATTCTTAATTTTCTGAGGAATCTCCATACTGTTTTCCATAATGGCTGCACCAGTTTACATTCCCACCAGCAGTGTATGAGAGTTCCCTTTTCTCCACATGCTCTCCAACACTTATTATTTCTTGTCTTGTTAATTATAGCCATTCTGACAGATGTGAGGTGATATCTCATTGCAGTTTTGATTTGCATTTCGCTAATAATTAGTGATGTTGAACATCTTTTCATGTGCCTTTTGGCCATCTGTATATATCTTCTTTGGAAAAATATCTGTTCAGATCCTTTGCCCATTTTTTAATTGGGCTGTTTGTCATTTTGTTGTTGAGTTGTATGAGTTCTTTATATATGTTGGATATTAACTCCTTATCAGATATATGATTTGCACATATCTTCTCCCAATTATTAGATTGTGTTTTCATTTTGTTAATTGTTTCCTTTGCCTTGCAGGAGATTTTTGGTTTGATGTAGTCCCATTTGTTTATTTTTTTCTTTTGTTTCCCTTGACTGGTGAGACATAGTGTTCAAAAAGATACTGCTAAGACTGATGTTAATGAGCACACTGCCTGTGTTTTCTTCTAGAAGTTTTATGGTTTTAGGTCTTACATTCAAGTCTAATTCATTTTGAATTACTTTTTGTATGTGGTGTAAGATAACGGTCTACGTTCATTCTTTTGCATCTGGCTGTCCAGTTTTCCCAACACCATTTATTGAAGTCTTTCCTTTCTTCATTGTATGTTCTTAGGTTCCTTGTTGAAAATTAGCTGTCCATAGATGTGTGGGTTTATTTCTGGACTCTCAATTCTATTCCATTGATTTGTGTATCTTTTTTCATGCCACCATGCTGTTTTGACTACTTTAGCTTTGTAGTGTATTTTGAAATTGGGGAGTGTAATACCTCCAGCTTTGTTCTTTTTTCTCAGGATTTCTTTTGTTGTTCCATATAAATTTTAGAATTCTTTGTTCTATTTCTGTGAAAAGTGTTGTTGGGACTTTGATAGGTATTGCATTGAATCTGTAGATTGCTTTAGGAAGTATGGACATTTTAACTATGTTAATTCTTCCAATCCAGGAGCATAGAATATCTTTCCATTTGTTTGTGTCTTTGATTTCTTTCAACAGTGCTTCCTGCTTTTCAGTGTACAGGTCTTTTACCTCTTTGGTTAAGTTTATTCCTAGTGTTTTATTCTTTTTGTTGTGATTATAAATGGGATTGTATTCTTAATTTCTCTTTGTGGTATTTCATTGTTAGTGTATAGAAACACAACTGATTTTTGTATGTTGATTTTGTACCCTGCAGCTTTACTGTATTCATTTATTATTTCTGATAGTTTTTTGGTGGATTCTTTTTAGAGTTTTCTATATATAAGATTGGGTTCATCTTGTTTGGTACTCTCGGTGCTTCCTTTACCTGGATGTCTGTTTCCTTGGTTAGGGAAATTCTCAGCTATTATTCCTTCATATTGGTTCTCTGCCCCTTTGTCTCTCTCTTCTCCTTCTGGGGCACCTATAATACAGATGTTACTACACTGGATGTTGTCCCAGAGGTCCCTTAGACTGTCCTTGTTCTTTTTAATTTTTTTTCCATTCAGCTTGGGTGATTTCTTCTTCTTTTTCATCCAGATCACTGATCCCCACTCTTCTGTGTCATCCACTCTGCTGTTGATTCCCTCTAGTGAATTTTTCATTTCCATGATTGTATTCTTCAGTTCTGATTGGTTCTTTCTTATATTTTCCGATTCTTTGTTAGAGTTCTCAATGTGTATATCTGTTCTTCTCCCAAGATCAATGAGCATCCCTATGACTGTTTATACGCTTTATCAGGTAGATTGTTTATCTCTGTTGCATTTAGTTTTTTTCCTGAGGGTTTGTCCTGTTCCCCTATTTGGAACATATTCCTTTGTCTCTTCATTTTGCCTGCTGCTTTGTGCTTACATCTGTGTGTTAGGTAGATCAGCTTCATCTCCCAATCTTGGAAATATGGCCTTATATAAGAGATGCCTCATGGGGCCCAGCAATGTGCTTCCCTCTCATCACCTGTTCCAGATGTTCCTGGAGTGTCCCCTGTGTGGGCTACATGTGCGCTTCTATTGTGGTGGGGTTGCTTTTGCTGCAGGTGCATGGGTAGGCTAGGCTGGCCCCCAGGCCAGCTGGTTGTAAGGGTCAGCTGTGTGCAGTTGCTGTGGTCACTTATTATTGGGTGGGGCAAGCCATGGTATGGCTGGCTCCATGGTCTAATAGCACGCAATTACTGCTGTTTTGCTGTTAAGTGAGTCAGACCCCCATTGTGGCTGGTTGCTAGGCTCAGGACTCACAGTTACTGTAATGCAGCTCTGATGTGGCCCTCTACAGTGTGGTGTTGTGGTTGGCTCTCTGAGGAATGCAGATGGGTGAGGCTGGTCCCAGGTCTGGCAGCACATAGTTGTTTCAGGCATTGGAAGGTGCTTAGATCCCCTGTGTGCGTGTTTGAAATGGCCAGCAGCACAATCTTCTATGGCTGTCATGCCCCACCCACCCCGCCTGTATGGGCCCAGAAGTTCACTATGGGCTAGCTGGTAGGTGAGGCCAGTCTCTGGGATGGGCTACCCACCTTGGCTGTGCTGGATTGATGTGGTGCTCTAGTGGGCGGGGAAAACCCGTATGCTAACAAGCTAGAGGAAGGAATCCATTGGTGTCTGCCAGCACAACTGAACTAGGTCACAATAATGGATTCCTCCAGTGTCTCAGTTGCTGGGGGCATAGTTGCCTCCTGCCTCTATGAGATACACTCAGAGCTTAGTAAGTGAGCCTCTTTTACTAATGGCCTGTGCAGTTTTCTTGTCTCTCTCTGTTGGTTTCTGCATCAGGGGAATCTATGCATGGGCCTTTTAAGTGTGGGTTTTTCTTTCTCTCAAGTTCGATAATTGTTCAGGAGGTATTCCCCATTGGTTTTCAAAGCTGGCAAAGCCAGGTGTTATGGGATGTTTTCTCGGTTGTGCTGGATGTAAAGGTTGGCATGCTTATTGTGGCATAGGTCTCCTGCTCAGATCCCTCTGCTCCTCTGGGAAGAGCTTCGTACCTTTAAGATTGCTCTCGGCCTTGAAGTGCCACCGCTAGGATGTGAATTTTTCCTCAGCAGAGGTATATTTCTGCCTCTTCCACCCCTGTCAGTGTTGTCCCTTGTCATGGGGGTTCTTTTTATCCTTTTTCCAGATCTATCTCAGAGGAAATTGTTTCACAGACAGCTATAGATTTGTTGTGTCCGTGGGAGGAGGTGAGGTTAGAGTCCTCGTATGCTGCCATCTTTGCAGAATCTCTTCTCCAGCTTTTTATTTTGAAGAATTTCAAACCTACAGACTAGTTAAAAGAATGATAAAATGAACACGTGAATGCTCTCCACCTGGATTTTTAAAATAAGCATTTTACCATATTTGCTTTATCTTTTTCTCTCTAAATATGTATACATATTTTTTCTAAGCTGTCTGAAAGTAGATTGCAGACATCCTGACATTGTACCTATAAAAACTTAAACACATATCCTAAAAATGACTTTTGCTTACATATTGCAATACCATTTATAATACCTGAAAAAATTAATAGTAATTCCATAATATCATCTACAATCCAGACCATATTCAGATTTTTTTCAAATGCCGGAATTATTTTTAACTAGGTTCTAACTGAAAGATTATTTGAGATGAGGATATTGTGAGGAGGAACCATTACCAGTAAACTACTGAATGTGTATGCAGTGTGTATGTGTTCATTTCCCCCTCTTCTAGCCTTTTATTTTGAAAATTTTGAACTTCAGAAAAGTTTAAGAATTAGTATGATGAACACCTGTATGTCACCTAGATTATTATAACATTTTTGCACACTTGTTTTGTTTATCTTTTTTCCTCTCTTTCAAAACAGTTTGCATATAAGCTGTATGCATCACACAAAAGCACCCCTAAATACTTGAGTATGTGTTTTCCGGGAAAAGAACGTTATTTTACATAACCACAATAACATTATTACATCCAAGAAATTTAATAATTATATAATATATAATAATATGTAATATACAGTACGTGTTCATATTTCCCAAATTGACCCAGAAGTATTTCTTGAAACTGCCTACTATGTGTTGTTTAGGACTTAGGTACATAGAGCTGAATAAATCAATCATATTCATATCACTACTAATGAATGCTGGAATGACTGATGACTTTATGTCTGATAGTAGCAAAGTAACTCCTGTATTTATCTTTCTTCAAATGCTTAAAGCTAAATATATTGTAAGAACACCTGGAACTTATTAATTCAGTATTGCTCTTTTACAGATGAGCCTGAAGTCTTGACAGAGCCTCCAAGTGCCACAACCACTACGACCATAGGTATATCTGCAACCTGGACAACTTTGGCAGGTTCCCATGGTAAAAGAAATAATACCATAACTACAACCAGTTCAAAGAGGAAAAACAGGAAAAATAAAATTAATCCAGAAAATGTTCAAATTATATTTGATGATCCACTACCGATCTCATACAGTCAGCCAGAGAAGGTGAACGGAGAGTCCAAGAGCAGCAGTACCAGCGAGAGCGGAGACAGTGATAACATGAGGATTTCCAGCTGTAGTGATGAAAGTAGTAACAGCAACAGCAGCCGAAAGAGTGACAATCATTCACCTGCTGTGGTCACTACCACTGTGACCAGCAAGAAGCAGCCATCTGTTCTGGTTACATTTCCAAAGGAGGAGAGAAAATCTGTTTCTGGCAAGGCTGCAATAAAGTTAGTTCCAATTTTTATTTTTATAATTTATGTTATCATTATGAGATGCTTTGTTGCTGAATTTTTTAGTAAAGCAAACAAATTAACAACTGGCAAAATAAGGGTTTGTCTTTATGCTAAAGAAGGCACAATTTCATTTGAATTGAAGAATAAGGTATTTTTTAGATTTTGTATTAATGAATAAGAAAATTATTTTTACTATGTACTTCATTTTGGTTGTTAAACTTAGCCCATAAAAATACTGATTATGGTTTCTTGGGGGTTATTATTGTGATTCAGCTCTGCTAAATATGATCACGAGATAGTATCTTAAAAATTCACTCTTCATATTATGCTAAGTATTGAAAAGTGAAAAGTAAGTTCCTCATTTGTTCACCATATTTAGTCTAAAAATAAATAAAAGAATAAAATTATATAATAGATGGCCTTTATCATTTAAAAATTCTACATCCGTTCTATATTTAATGTACTTTTCCTTCTTCTGTTAAAGATTGTCAGAGACTATCAGTGAAGTGACCAGTAATTCTCTGTCCACTTGCACAAAATCTGGTCCATCTCCCCTTTCCTCTCCAAATGGGAAGTTAACAGTAGCAAGTCCTAAACGTGGACAAAAGAGAGAAGAAGGATGGAAAGAAGTTGTAAGAAGGTGAGTGTTTCTTTGATTGTTTTTCTCATTCTTTTTATGTGCTGTATTTCACAGTGAAGTGTGGTTTACCTTACAGTTAAAATCCTCCAGCTATTCCAAAGGTTGCAGACAAACTAGTGTCCCAAGGCTGAATCTGGCCAATAGAGACAGCCTACAGCCTATTTTAGGTGAAAAGAAAAGTTATATGTTAATACTTTTTAAATTGGGAGATTTTACATAAAAAGTTAGATAATTGTAGTATCTGCTTGACCCCCATAGGTGTTGGTATTTGGTAGAGAACCAATTTAAGCTCTTGAAGGTGATAGATTATGTCTTGTCAGCTTTGTAATCTTAGAGCCTAGTACGTAATGTCTACTTGACATTAATGTCTTACATTACTTGTTAATATTTGAAGAATGAATAAGTATTGGTTTTAACCTACTCTAATCTTTAAATCATAAGATACCTTTATTTCAAGAATTTTAGGACTAAAATATTTTGTTATATTTTGCTTGGGATTTTGTGGTTTTTGTTTTTGTGGTTTTGTTTTTGTTTTTGTTGTTGTTTTGTGAGGAAGATTGGCCCTGAGCTAACATCCGTTGCCAGTCTTCATCTTTTCACTAAGAAAGATTAGCCCTGAGCTGACATCACTGCCCATCTTCCTCCATTTTGTATGTGGGATGCTGCCACAGCATGGCTTGATGAGCAGTGTGTAGGTCCACACCTGGGATCCGAACCTATGAACCACAGGTGGCTGAAGCTGAGTACTCAAACTTAACCAATACGCCACTGGGCCGGCCCCTTGCTTGGGATTTTTTAAGTAATGAGTGTCAAAAAGTGAAACAGTATTCAGAAACTAAAAGGTGGTAAAATACCACAAACCCAGAAAGAATGTGATCTATTATAAATCTTTGATAACTTCTTTTAAAGAACTTTCCAGAAATTTTACAAAAAAATTAAACTTTTGAGGTCAGCCAGGTAGCATAGTGGTTAAGTTCACACACTCCACTTCAGCAGCCCAGGGTTCACAAGTTCAGACCCTGGGCGCAGACTTAGCACCATTCATCAAGCCAGTCTGTTGTGGCATCCCACATAAAATAGAGGAAGATTGGCACAGATGTTAGCTCAGAGCCCATCTTCCTCAAAAAAAAAATTAAGCTCTTGATTATTTGAAACAAGAGCTGTAATGAACCAAACTTATTACTATTAATTTCAAAATGCACTGTACATTTTGTTTCTTATTTTGGACCAAAGCCACCTCCTTACCCCCATTTCTGTCTTTGTCTCTGTCTCACACACACACACACTCTTAACTCATTCACATACACACACTCTATTGGACTAATTGAAATCAGACATCACAGTACTCTCCATACATGAGTAAAGTAATTCAGTTTTTCTGCATGCATTTTATATTGTGATATACAAAGAAATTCTTAACTAATTTGAAAATAATGATCACTGACTGATTATTATACCCTTTAGGGAAAAAGGAATTATCAGGTAACTTAGATATATATATTAAAGGGCATGGGTCATACCTTACCTTTAAAAAATGCATTTTATTTTAATGTTTAACCTACCATTCTAAATAAATAACTTACTTGTTCATTAAAGCGTAATTGACTCATTCTCTTTATTGAGAGTTATACTGTATTTCTTTTAGAAGTATTCTTTAATTTAGACTTGTCAGAAATTTGTATCTTCCTTTCCTGAATCTGAATGTTTAAAATTGTAATGTAATTTTGCAAGTGTTAGATCAGTTTGGTTTTTTTGAAATTCTGGTGGGTATTTTCTCCTTCCTCACAATGCTGAACATCCTTTAGTAGGTTTCCATATTTGTGGCTAATCATTTAATGCCTCTAGAAGAATGCAGGAAAACAATGAATTTTTAAGATCATCTTTTCAGTTACATATTAGAGAATAAAAAGAAGATTATGAGTCAAACACCCAGAGGCACCCACAGAAGCCTTTCTTGAATCTTTGGGCTAGATCAGATGTCCCAACCAATGTGTCTTTACGGTACCTTTCTTAGAGCATTCATGGCATGATGTTGTAGTTTTCTTCCTTGGTGTCTGCATAGTCAATATGTGTGGGTAGGAACCCATGTCTATCTTATTTACCGTTAGTATTTGCATTAACCCAGTGCATGTCTACATATGATATGTGCTTTACAGGTATTAATGAAGAATGAAAGTCAAAAAAGCTAACGGTGTTTGGTAATGAGATGAGAAGCTATGGTAAAGCTTTATCTTTTCCTCTCTTTCTCTTTCTCTCTCTCTCTTTCTCTCTTTCTTTTCTGTAACTCCTCGTTGCCTTTTATCACCTGGGCTGAGACTAGCTGGAAAAGGATTATTCAACAATGATCTATTGTGTATTTACAGAAACGTATTTTAGTAATACTTTCTCTTTTATTTTAATCACAACCACTGATGCTAATGATGTATCTTTGCAACTTTTTAAACAGGTCAAAGAAAGTATCTGTTCCATCAACTGTGATATCTAGAGTGATTGGAAGAGGAGGCTGTAACATTAATGCTATTCGGGAGTTCACTGGTGCACACATAGATATTGATAAGCAGAAAGACAAGACAGGAGACCGGATAATAACTATAAGGCAAAATTTTGTCTCTTATGTCTTCTTCCTTTGTGTTTTATTGCATTATAGCTTAATGAAATAGAAACATTTGAGTTTTTAGTGGAACTTTGTATTTATTAACATACTTTTTTAAAATAGGAATCCAATTAGTATTTGAGAAGATAACCTTTATAATTTTTTCTTTAATTCATATGCTCTTGTGAAGTATTTCAAAGGACTTTAAAGGAATTTTTCTTTTGTATGTGTGTGACAAAGGTTTAGATAGTCTTTTCCTTACATAAACTGTTCATATGACATTCTTAAAAATTTATTCTAAGACTTTTTGAAAAGGAATGGGTTTCTAACACACTTTAAGCAGTATTTTTCCATCTTTCTCTTAAATTAGCCTTTGAGATTTGTTATTTTGAGATTGTGTCCTTAGAATATGAGCTTAGGGGCCGGCCCCATGGCGGAGTGTTTAAGTTCCCGCACTCTGCTTTGACGGCCCAGGATTTCACCAGGTCGAATCCTGGGCACAGACATGGCACCGCTCATCAAACCATGCTGAGACCACATCCCACATGCACAACTGAAAAATACACAACTATGTACCGGGGGCTTTGGGAGAAAAAGGAAAAGAAAATAAAATCTTAAAAAAAAAAAGAATATGAGCTTAGTAGTAGATTTAAATCTGAAGTGGATATTTGTCTTGAATTTAATATGTCTGTATCTAAATAGTCTTAAAATAAAGATAATATTCTAAGAAATCATAGGTTTGTTTGTAAGAGGCAGCTGCCCCTTCACATAATAAGAGGACCAATAGATATAGACTACCTAAAAAAGAAAGAGGCAATTAGCTGTCTCTGTTTTGTACTTATCCTCCTCTCTTATCTTGTTTTTCCGTCTCCTGGGATAAGTGGGTAGTCATAACCTGCCTTATCTAGAGAAGAGGGAAGCGGATACCCCATATGAGTAATTTCCCCCTTAGGGTTTCCATAAGTCCTTCCTTGCGATCAAATATTGTCCTAAAGATTCAACACTAGAGTTTGACCTTATGGCCATTGTTGGCATTATCTGGATGCCTCTCTCATTCTCAGACATCATTCCAGAGGAATTATAATAATAATTCTAGTAATGGAGAAACCACTAACAAATATGTTGTAGATGGAGTTATCTTAGGTCCCAGGATTTAAAATAAAATACTGTTTTCTTACTCAATTGTATCATTTTCTTTTTTTACCTGTATTGCTTTTAGTATTGATCAACTGTTTAACTTGACAGTAATACATGGATTACACAGGCTTTTAAGTACAGTGGTTTTCCTAACTGTAATGTATTTTACAGTAGGAAAATGATTTCTTAGTTTAAGGAAACAGTAGTAAAATGAACTTTTGAAAAATAAATTCTTTACTGTTCCTTTGAAAATTATAGTGGCATGTCAGGACAGTTTATTGCTTTGTTTGCAAAATACCTCAAGAATAGTCAGAAATTTGCTCCTAGCCTTGTTATCTGTTTTCTGTATGTATGTACACACATGAATGAATTTAGGCTTTATATATTAAAAAGTAGGGGAAATTGGACCTAATTTTTTTTCTCTCAACTCACAGAGGTGGCACTGAATCAACAAGACAAGCAACTCAGTTGATCAATGCTCTGATCAAGGATCCAGACAAAGAAATTGATGAACTTATTCCAAAGAATCGTTTGAAAAGCTCCTCAGCAAATTCCAAAATAGGGTCATCAGCACCTACCACCACTGCTGCTAACAGTTCCTTAATGGGAATTAAAATGACGACTGTAGCTCTGTCATCAACATCTCAAACTGCCACAGCACTCACTGTGCCTGCAATTTCTTCTGCATCTACTCACAAAACCATTAAGAATCCAGTGAATAATGTGAGGCCTGGTTTTCCAGTTTCTCTTCCATTAGCATATCCTCCTCCACAGTTTGCACATGCTTTGCTTGCTGCTCAGACTTTCCAGCAGATCCGTCCACCAAGGTTGCCCATGACCCACTTTGGAGGTACTTTTCCACCAGCTCAATCCACTTGGGGTCCTTTTCCTGTCAGGCCTTTGAGCCCTGCCAGAGCTACTAACTCGCCTAAGCCTCACATGGTGCCTCGCCATAGCAATCAGAATAGCAGTGGTTCTCAGGTGAATTCAGCAGGTTCTTTAACTTCAAGTCCAACAACTACAACCAGTTCATCAGCTTCAACGGTGCCTGGTACATCTACAAATGGCAGTCCAAGTTCTCCTTCCGTCAGAAGGCAGCTTTTTGTCACGGTTGTGAAGACATCCAATGCCACCACAACAACGGTCACAACCACAGCAAGCAACAACAGCACTGCACCCACAAATGCCACATATCCTATGCCTACTGCCAAAGAACACTACCCAGTATCATCCCCATCTTCCCCATCACCACCAGCCCACCCAGGAGGGGTTTCTAGAAACAGCCCCTTGGATTGTGGAACAGCATCTCCCAATAAAGGGGCATCTTCCTCTGAACAGGAAGCAGGTAGTCCACCCGTAGTAGAAACGGCAAACAGTAGACCTCCAAACAGCAGCAGTTCTTCTGGGAGTTCATCAGTTCATTCTACTCAGCAACAACCCCCGGGATCTGTTTCTCAGGAGCCAAGACCACCTCTTCAGCAGTCTCAGGTTCCTCCCCCGGAAGTTAGAATGACTGTTCCTCCTTTAGCAACAACAAGTTCTGCTCCAGTGGCGGTGCCTTCTACTGCCCCAGTGACTTACCCTATGCCTCAAACACAAATGGGATGCTCCCAGCCTGCTCCTAAAATGGAAACCCCTGCTATTAGACCACCCTCTCATGGCACAGCTCCCCCTCACAAGAATCCAGCTCCAGTGCAAAATTCATCTGTTGCAGTCCTCAGTGTCAATCACATTAAACGACCTCACAGTGTTCCCTCTTCTGTCCAGCTACCTTCAACCTTAAGTACACAAAGTGCTTGTCAAAATTCAGTACATCCAGCAAATAAGCCTATAGCTCCCAATTTTAGTGCTCCTTTACCATTTGGGCCCTTTAGCACATTGTTTGAAAACAGCCCTACTTCTGCTCATGCCTTCTGGGGAGGATCTGTTGTTTCATCTCAGTCAACACCAGAATCTATGCTATCAGGAAAATCCTCATATTTGCCAAATTCTGATCCTTTACATCAGTCTGATACTTCCAAAGCTCCAGGTTTTCGACCACCATTACAGAGACCTGCTCCAAGTCCCTCAGGTGAGTTTGTATTTTCTGACATTTTTGCTGCTGCTCATTTACTCAGGTGATGTGAAAACTCTCAGTCGTTTTCTAACATTTTTACCCTATGACTATGTCAGATGGACAGAAATTGTTGTATTCAGTTAACTCAAATGCCGTTATAAATATGGTGTGTATTTTTTTGTAAATCTTTTTAGAAGCTGTAGTGGATTTTATCTTGAACTTCCCATAAATTTGTTTATCAGGAATATTTTTCTCTCAAAATAAGTCTCTTATGATTTAATTTAATAAGGTAACACCGTCAGTTTGCTTTTATTTCAAATAAATAATTAACAAAGATTGTTTAAATTTGATTTTATTTCTGATCATCTTTTTTGTTTTTAAAATAATGAGAAAAATCTAGAGCTACGTAGTTCAGTAAAGTAGCCACTAACCATATGTGCCATTTAAATTAAAACTAAATTAAAATTAAGTAAAATTAAAATTTCATCTCAGTCAAGCTGGCTGTCTTTCTTGCTTTTTAAATTTTTTTCCAGTTTTGCTGAAGTGTATTAACAGACATCATTATGTAAGTTTACGATGTGTAGCGTAATAGTTTCACTTACATATTGTGCAGTGATTACAATAATTAGCATTCATCTCATATAGATACAATAAAAAGAAAAAACAAAAATTTTTAAAAATTCTTTTTCTTTGTGATGAGTACTCTTAAGATCTACTCTCTTAACAGCTTTCCTGTATATCTTATAGCAGTGTTAACTGTAGTCATCATGTTGTACATTATATCCCTGTTACTTATTTATCCTGTCACTGGAAGTTTGTAGCTTTTAACCACCTTCCTCGAATTCCCCTTTTCCCCCGACCCCCTGCCTCTGGTAACCACAGTTAGATCTCTTTTTCTATGAGTTTGCTTGTTTGTTTGTTTTAGATCCCACACATAAGTGAGATCATACAGTTATTGTCTTTCTCTCTCTGACTTATTTTACTTAATATAATGCCCTCGAGGTCCACCCATGTTGTCGCAAATGGCATAATTTCTTTCTTTTTTATTTATTTATTTATTTTTTAATTTTTTATTTATTTTTTGAGGAAGATTAGCCCTGAGCTAACATCTGCTGCCAAACCTCCTCTTTTTGCTGAAGAAGACTGGCCCTGAGCTAACATCCGTGCCCATCTTCCTCTACTTTACATGTGGATCGCCTACCACAGCATGGGGTGCCAAGCGGTGCCATATCCGCACCCGGGATCCAAACCAGCGAATCCCGGGCCGCCGAAGCGGAACATGCTCACTTAACCACTGCACCACCCGGCTGGCCCTTTCCTTTTTCATGGCGGAATAATATTCGTGTGTGTGTGTGTGTGTGTACCACATCTTATCTATTCATCCGTCAATGGACACTTAGTTGTTTCCATGTCTTGGTTATTGTAGATAATGCTGCTATGAACATAAGAGTGCAGATATCTTTTTGAGTTAGTGGGTTTTTTTGTTTCCTTTGGATATATTCCCAGAAAGGAATTGCTAGATCATAGGGTATTTCTACTTTTAATTTTTTGAGGATCCTCCATACTGTTTTCTATAGTGGCTAAGTTGGCCATATTTCAAGTGCTTAATAAACACGTATGGCAAGAGGCTGTCATACTAGACAGCACAGATATCTGTTATAGAAAGTTCTCGTGGACAATGCTGACATTTATAGATTATCTAAAGATCTCCTGGTTGTGAGTGAGTGCTTTTTTTCTTTTTAGCTTTTTACTTTGAAATATTTTTAGACTTATAGAAGAAGAATTCTATAATTACCCCAGCTTCTCCTAATGTAAACATAGGATTATCTTGCATAATCATGGTACATTTATTAAAACTAAGAAATTAATATTGGTACAGTATAATTATCTCTACTACAGACTTTATTCAGATTTCTCAAGTTTTTCCAATAGTATCCTTTTTCTGTTGCAGTGTCCAATCCAGGATACCAGGTTGCATTTAGAGCAATGTGTTTGAATATAAACATTTTAAGTAATTAAAGGTAATCCATGCCAGAGATAGACAAACTGGTCTGTGGACCAAATGTGGCCTGCTACCTGTTTTTACATTTCTGGTTTTTTTTTATTGAGGTATAATGTTATCTAAGATTTTTTAAAATAGTTTTTAGGAAAATTTTAGAAAGTGTAATATGTGACCAAATAAATAGGAAATTCAAAATTCAGTGTTCATAGATAAAATTTTATTAAAGCACAGCCATGCCCATTCATTTACATATTGTGTCATGGCTGCTTTCATGCTCTGCTGACAGCCTAAAAATATTCACTGTTCAGCCCTTTACAGAAGGGTTGCCAACCTGATCTGTGTTATTGAGATGACATTCTGGGACTAAAGATTTCTAAATTTGATGGGATACTGGATGTTATTTTTACATATTTCTATAACATATAAATACAATGTAATGAACTTAGTCAGTAAATATGTCTTTTCTGGGGAGTGACTGAAATACTTAAGTGTACTTTCAAAAACAGTTTCTCTTGAGTACTAAAATAATAGAATCAATATAATTTGATTTTAAAAGATCACCATATGCTAATGTGTTGGAAATACTTTTATATTTCATTTTTATAATAGTTGGAATTTTGTGAAAATACTTCACTTTTCAAAAATTGTGAAATCTAGGTAGTGTGTTCAGAAAGACTAAAATTAAGATTTAGAGAAAAAAGAAATAAATTCTTATTATGTGGAAAGGTATAGAAAAAGGCTCATCTTCTTTATAAGGGAGGTGTGGGGGTGAAGAGTTGATGAGAACCAAAATTAACATTGAAATCTAACTTGCGAATTTATCAGAGAAGGATATTACTAGATTCAGGTCAAAACAGGCATGTTTTCCTTCACAGCTATGCCACTAATACTACACCCAAGAAAATTAACATTAGTTCAGTAATAACACCCGATATGTAGTACCATCATCCCAAGTATATTCCTTTTTTTTTCCTTAGTGAGGAAGATTGGCCCTGAGCTAACACCTGTTGCCAATCTCCCTCTTTTTGCTTGAGAAAGATTGTTTCTGAGCTAACATCTGTGCCTGTTTTTCTCTATTTTGTATGTGAGATGCTGCCACATCATGGCTTGATGAGCGGTGTGTAGGTCTGCATCTGGGATCCAAACCAGCCAATCCCGGGCCACAGAAGCAGAACGCGCAAACTTAACCACTACGCCACTGGGCTGGTCCCCCAAACTGATTCTTTATGCTGGTTGTTTTGTTTTTTTTTTTTTTACTTTTGATCCAAGATCCAATCAAGGTTTACACTTGCTTTTGGCTGTTATGTCTCATTGGTCTCCCTCAGTCTAAAGCATCTCACTACCTTCCTTTGTTATTCTTGATATTGAATCCTTTGAAGAATCCAGTTGTCCTGAAGGATAGTCCACATTTCAGGTTCATCTGTTTCCTTAATCCATGATTATACATTCAGGTCAGATACTTTTTGCAGGAACTTTAGATAGGTAATGTTTTGAAGCTCACACTAGGATATATCAGGAGGCACTCAGTGACAGATTGTCCCACTATTGGCTATGGAAAGGATGGCCACTTAGTTAAGATGCTGATCATTAGATCTCTCCATTGTAGAAGTATAGCTACGCCTTTTTTTCCTCACCCTGTAGTTCTTTTTTTTTAAGACTTTTTTTTTTAATAGAACTTTTAGGTTACAGCAAAACTGAGAGAAAAGTGCAGAGATTTCCCACATGCCTCCTGCCCCCATACAGGCATAGCCTCCCCCATTGTCAACATCCCCCACCAGAATGGTACTTTTGTTATAATTGATGGACCTACATTAACACATCCAAAGTCCATAGCTTACAATAGAGTTCACTTAGTGTTGTATGTTCTGTGGGTTTGAACAAATGTCTAATGACATGTATCCACCATTATAGTATTGTGCAGAATATGTTCACTGTCTCAAAAATCCTCTGTGCTTGAGGAAGATTAGCCCTGAGCTGACGTCTGTGCCAGCCTTCCTCCATTTTTTTTTATGTGGGACTCCTCCACAGCATGGTTGGTGAGTGGAGTAGGTCTGCACCTGGGATCCGAACCTGCAAACCCATGCTGCTGAAGGGGAGCATGCAGAACGTTAACCACTCAGCCAAGGGGCTGGGCCCCCTCCTAAGTTTTTTAAAGATAAATTTTTATACTACCCCTTGGGTATTAAACCTTTTTAAATTCCAGTGTTGATATTAAGTCTACATGTATTCTATAATAACTAATCAAATGTTAAAACTAAATATAGAAATATTTTCCTTGGTAGTTATTCCTCTTTTATAAAGTAAAGTGGGATATAGTGAGTCTGTGGACTAAAAGAAGTAAGCAAGGAGAAACTTTTTTAATGTAAAATGTTTTGGGATATATTAGGGACCTCTTGGAATTTCAGGTTTTTCTAATTGTTTCTCCTAGAGGGTAACTATGATTATCCTTCTGCATTGTAGGTATTGTCAATATGGACTCGCCATATGGTTCTGTAACACCTTCTTCTACACATTTGGGGAACTTTGCTTCAAACCTTTCAGGAGGTCAAATGTATGGACCTGGGGCACCCCTTGGAGGAGCACCCGCAGCTGCTAACTTTAACAGACAACATTTTTCCCCACTTAGTTTGTTGACTCCATGTTCATCAGCATCAAATGGTGAGTATTATACACTGTGGTTCCTTAAGAAGAGTTTGCATATATGTTTTTTTAAAGACAAGAGGTTTTAAGTTTTTCAAAGTTTGGAATTTTTAACTTTTAAACCTCATCATAATTTTAATACTGTAAAAATGTAATTTGTATTATGACAGTCTGTGAAATCAGGAATACTTTCAATAGAATTTCTAGATTTTTAAATTAACTGGAATCAACCTCTGTTATATCAATCCTAGAATATTATATAGAAATTTATTTTAAAAGGGATCATTTTCTTGAGGAAAAAAATTAATCTTGTCGTACCTCCTATTGATTTACATTTACTTTTAGTTTTATTTGAGACTACAGCTACCAAGGAGAAAGATTTCTAGCCTTAAAGGTATTTACGTCACATGGTTTTGTCCACCTTTCAATCTCATCTACTATGTTAACAGCACAACTGATTTTCACATTATTTGATGTGTGTTTTTAGCTGTAGTCAGACTTTTGAAGCTGATTTTCAAACTAAGGAAGAGCAGTCATAGAGACTTCAACTCACATTAAGAGAATTCTCTAGTAAGGTTATTGGGTTTTGTGGGTTTTGTGTTTGTAGTTCTTAATTTTTCTTTTTTTTTTTTTGTGGGGATAAAGACATGAAATTGCTTTCTCCTTGAGGAAATTATAAGAATCATTTTTTAAACTACCAAATTTCTTCTAACAATGCTAGAACCTACATAACAGAGCCTGGTTAACTGAATGAAAGAGTAAAAAATAATTTAAATATTCGAGAGATGCATATCAAAGTACATTGCCAGTTAAAGCATGAAGTAAGTTATAGCCTGTAATGAGTTTACATATTGTGTAGTTTTTCTTGTGTTTGTCAAATAATGAGGACTGTCACATAGCAAGAGTATTTATTATCCTTGCACAGGTTTCCCTAAGTGTGAGGGTAAATGGTTTAAGAAAGAATTCAGGGGCTGGCCCCGTGGCCAATTGGTTAAGTTCGTGAGCTCCCCTTCTGCAGCCCAGGGTTTCCCAGGTTCGATCCTGGGCGCTGACCTAGCACTGCTCATCAAGCCATGCTGAAGCGGTGTCCCACATGCTACAACTAGAAGGACCCACAACTAAAAATATATACACAACTATGTACTGGGTGGCTTTGGGGAGAAGAAGGAAAAATAAATCTTTAAAAAAAAAGAAAGAAAGAATTCAAAATGATGAAATAGAAACATGCCAGAAATAATGTAAGAAGTATGAAAGTAATGTGCTAATATATATAATAAGAAAAACAGTCTATAGCAGTTCTCATTGAGGATACTCTACCTATCCTTGAAAAAGATAAAGTGAATATAGTATAACAATGTTACTTAGCCTGGTTTATTTAAACATAAGGCATTAAATAGAATATTTAAACTAAATATAACTAAGGAATAACTGGTCATTACATTTTATCCCTAACTCTTTGGCTTTTAATAAAAGGTTATAGCCTCGGTTATTTAAAGCTGTACTCAAACAACATATATCTGTATCCTAGAGGAATATGGATATTTATTCTGTTTGTTTAGTTTATTATAAGAAAGATTGACAGGTAAATATTGAAGAATGGAAGGTAATTCACTCTGTATTTTAATGATTGGTACTTTATCCTAACTTAGAGTCCCTCCCTTTAGGGACATGAATTTGAACAGATTTTAGGGCAAAAATTACCACAATTAAAGAAAGAAAAAAACCTAAGAGAAAAGTAAAATAGTAAGGATTGCCAATGAATTCTTTTTGTAATACAGTTCGTAACTGTATGTTAAACAACAGCAACAAGAAGTTAATTTATTGAATTTAGCCACTTTTCAGGTTAATTTTCCCCCAAATCTGCCTTTTTCAGCAAAACCTTAATGTAAACAGTTTTCTAATCTGTTAATATTTACCACACTGGATTAGTGTAAGAAGTCAATAGGATAATGTATCTTTTTATACAGAAGAAGTGGTACGTGTCTGAGTATAAATAATAGTTTTACTTTTGTAACTGTGTTAATGTTTATAAATTCCCAAAAAATCAACTTTGATGGAAAAAAAAGAACACTGAAATTGAATATAAATAGAAACAAATAAACCTCACTGTATT